TCTGACGGGGCGGGACTCATCATCATCCGCTCCTCTCCAGCGAGTCCGCCTCACCAACACGCTTGTCCGCCGGCCCGGCCGCGGTCCCAGCCACTTCTTCTGGCCGGCAATTTCGTTCCCTATTACCACGCGCGGCAAGCAAGACGGCACGCGAGAAAATGGACTCCGCGGTTCAGCCTCGTTACATTGCCGCGAAAATCTTTGCGTTAAAAAGGGTCGGCTTTTCGCGGGGGCGCGGCCACCACGCACGATGCAGCAAATCGTTTAATAATATATCCGACGACCTGCACTGTCGCAGTGTTTTGGATGGAGACGCGGCGATAGCTGCTTGGGAGCAGAATAGCGTCCGACTGGCCCGCTCCCTGTCGCATATTTATTACTTCACGTTTACATGTAATTAGAATGCGGTTTACCTGCCAAGCGACTCGAAGTGCCCGCGCAATGTTTTACTCGGTGCAATTATTCTAGCCTCATCGGGAGCTCGCACGCCGTTGTAAGGGTCAGTGACGACTTTATATGGACTTTTGCTTGTAAATACCGCTTCTTCATATGTCTTCACGATACATAGACATGGCACACGTTTATTAGCAACGCTATACTCATTAATATAGTTATAGTATAGTAGTATAATATGTAATACTATATCCTATGACCAGGCAGTGATGGGCAGTCTCTCGACAAATGTGATCGCGCCATTGATCTCGCAAGTTGGCGAGGGTTTATTTAGATCTCTTAATTCGGCCTATTATATGTACAACAAACTCATTCTGCATAGATAATTCACTTCAACGAAGAAGATGGTAATAATGAATAGTTTTGTACATGTTTAGACTGTCTAGACATTCGGATAATTGGGCAAATAACTGGCACAAAAAATCGGTACACCGGCTGTAAAGGAGAGAGTCGTTTATACCTCCCATCTGTCTACAAGTTTGACTACGTGCGGTGGTATACAGAGTAGTTGAATTCTGACAAAGTAGCGCCCCTCAACGTCGAAAAATTGAACATGGGTGATTTAGCGACAGACCCTCTAAGGAGAATAGCCAGGGAACGTGCGCACGATCTGTAGCGATCCAGGGTGTTAGCTATCCTGCTGTTGTACAGCTCATGCAGACCACTGAGACCAGGGACACATAACCACAGATATATACGAACACATATAAAAACAAAATGTGTTTGTATATATCTATAATATAACTTAGGCACTAGCAGCTGTAATTAGTAGTAGTAACTAGTTTTTAGTTTTGTTTTGGCTTGATATTAACCTAACGTTTGCGCAGGTGTTATTAACATGATCGAGTAAAAGCTACCGATGGTATGGTAAAGAATGACATAACACAGATAATGATACAGTAAATCAGACTATTATTTCATATATGCCATAGATATAAATTTATCTCATTACTATTATTTGATTATAATTTATTAATTAAAAGCTGACCTTGACTGTAAAGCTCACGAGTATCTAAATATATAACACGAATACGACGAATGAAACGAATTTATACTTGACCCGAAATGCCACATACTCACTATATTATGTACTATGTTTTACATAAATCATAGTCAAATTAGTAGTTTCTAAGTAAGTTCTCAATCTATATGTATAGATTCAATAGCAATAAGGAACATCATCATGCCAGAGTTGACTTTCACAGGTGTTTCTATACAGGGCTTTACCTCCAGCTATTTCTGTAGGGTTTCATATACAGGTATCTGTGTAGGGCTTCATATACAGGTATTTCTGTAGGGCTTCATCTACAGGTATTTCTGTAGGGATTGATCTACATGTATTTATGTAGGGCTTCATCTACAGGTATTTCTGTAGGGATTGATCTACATGTATTTATGT